AAATTGGTTTCCAAAAGTGTTCTAATCAAATAAGGAAAGTTACTTTCGTGCGCGGATTTTTTTTGTCTCTACATAGCATTCAGAAATTTGGTTATAACTTTCTCTTCCGATATCCAATTTAGACAATTCAAAATGTATTAGAAAGATAATTCGAAGAGATACAACTTTGTTAGAAATAGCTCTTTTCCAATTGGGACTTCCGCTATGCCAAAAATGGGTCTCAATCTTTAGCTAAAAATCTGGAATATATCTTGTGCGAATTGGAAATTGATTTTGATAATATTTCATTCCTTTTTTGACTTCTAATTGCTTCCAACCGACCCTTAGCACTCTCAAACCTTCATCGTGAGCCCTGGCATAATTTTTGAATATTTGCACTTTAGTCCCCGAACTTTCACTTTCTTCCATTTTGGTCTTTTTCACTTGTTTCTCCTTATTTTCGCTACATTCATCACTTGTCCTGCAAAAAAATGAATTGCATTGAATTAAATTATATTCCAACATATTAATGAACAATTGCTTATATTTTGAAATAAGTATGTAAAAACGTACTTATCAGCACTGCTACACCAAGTTATTGCCCCTCTATGCCTACTTTTTCTTTATCTGCATCATATATGACTTTTCTTGCTAATGTGTCTCATATCCAAGAACCATCTTCTTATAAACAAGCATGCATTCATGAGGAATGGATCAATGGAATGAACAAAGAACTTACAGCTTTAGAAAATAATCATACTTGGGAACTCACAAGCTTATCTGAAGGAAAGAGAGCTATTGGTTCAAAATGGGTATACAAAATTAAGCTCAACTCTGATGGTAGCATTGATAGGTTTAAGGCTCGGCTCGTAGCCAAGGGATACAACCAGGTAGCAAGGATTGAATATTTTGAAAGTTTTTCACTTGTTGCTAAGACTGTTACGTTAAGAATTTTCTTAGCAATTCCAACTTCAAAGTCGTGGCCTGTCCACCAACTAGATATTAACAATGCCTTCCTCCATGGCTTTTTGGTTGAAGAAGTTTATATGCAACCTCCAGAAGGATATTTTAAGGCCAAACTAGGTCAGGTTTGCAAGTTAAAACGCTCTCCTAAAACAAGCCTTGAGACAATTGAATTATGAATTTACCACACATTTGCAGATTTTTGGTTTTAAACAATCAGCACATGATAATTGCTTATTTGGCAAACAGTTAACTACTGGTTTTTTTGCTCTAGTTGTGTATGCGGATGATGTGCTCATTACGGGCGCAAATGAGGATGACATTATTGCAGCTAAACATTTCTTAGACTATCAGTTTACAATTAAAGACATTGGGTATGTGACATACTTTCTTGGTTTGGAAATTGCAAGATCTGTTTCTGCTACTTATATTCATCAAAAGAAGTATGTTCTTGATATTCTTGAAGACATGCAAAGGCTACTCTTGCTCCTCTACCTATAGGTTACAAGTTCTCTATTACACTAATCAAACAATGGATAAGCTAAAACGATTTTCGATAGCATTATTTGGATTATGGTTGTGAATTGATAGACAATTTTAAAACTTTGATACTCTTAGCATGTTATCTTATGTGTTGATCTTTATCGCATTTGCATGATTATGTTAGAAGTTAATCTTGCTCGAGACGAGCAAGAACTC